GCCGGGACTAATACATCCTGATCAAGCCGGCTTCATGAAGGGCAGGAAGATCTCCGATCAAATCTTCCTAGCAATGGAAATGGTAGAATATGCGGAGGATGAACTCGCGAACGGCGCTATATTGGCCCTGGACCAAGAAAAAGCGTACGATAAGACCTCACACCATTACCTTTGGCAGGTCCTCAAACACAACAACCTCCCAGCACTCTTCATAAACACTGTCAAAGCGCTGTATGCTGACGCAGAAACTCAGGTGGTGATAAACGGGGTGATTAGCTCCAAGTTCAAAGTAACCAGAGGAGTACGACAGGGAGACCCTCTGTCATGCCTTCTCTTCAACCTGGCCATCGAACCGCTCGCGGCTATGCTGCGAAACTCCGAAATCCAGGGTTATAAAACAAAGAATGCATTGAGGAAAATAGTGACCACACTATTCGCAGACGATACAACAGTATATCTATCGTCTGAGGACTCCTTCACGCGTGTGACCGAGATTCTGGACAAGTGGTGCCGAGCATCATCCGCAAAGTTCAATGTTGCCAAGACGGAGGTCATCCCAATAGGGTCAGAAGCCTACCGGAGGTGGGTGCTGGAAAACAGGAAATTAAATGTGGCGGATGGAATGATGCCAGACAACGTACATATTGCGCGAGACGGAGAGTCTGTCAGGATCCTAGGAGCGAGAATAGGCAACAAAGTTGACATAAACGGGGTATGGAACCCGGTGGTAGAGAAGATCGACTCAGCGCTCGAAATGTGGGGCAGAAACCACCCCACTCTGGAGATGAGACGTCATATAACTCAGATAACGATTGGATCCATGACACAGTATATGGCACAGGTCAACGGAATGCCGAAATCAGTGGAGAAGCACCTAATAAAAGTCCAGCGAGAATTTATGTGGGCGGGGAAAAAATCGTCCCCAGTCCAACGAGAGATGCTGCTAGCGCCGAAATCCACGGGGGGCAAAGACCTCTTTGATATCACGGCGAGAAATGAGGCCCTACACATAATGAGGCTGAAGTCATACCTGGAACTAGACCCAGAGAAGAGGGCAACGTGGGCCTACATTGCAGACAGCACATTAGCTCGGCACACGCTGGAGAAACCAGTAGTGGAAAAAGGCACTCACATTAACACCTTCACACAATCCTGGTCGCCGAAGCGGAGCAAACTACCACCAAGACTGAAGGAAATGATTAACGTGGCGAAGAAGTACGGTGTTGTATTCAACACCTACCAGCCGTCCCAGAAAATTCGACGGGAGCTGCCGCTTTTCCATCACTTCGCAGAGGACCGATCAAGGAGCCGGATAAATAATACGGAACAATGTAAGTGTCTGCGACTCAGGCACGAAGCGAACACCATGGGAGATGGAGAGGGGATCTCAGCCAGGCTTGGTGACCGGAGGCATCGCCCAGACAAAAGATGTACCTGCCTAGACTGTGTCGACGATAGGGCGTTCCGAAAGTGCGAGAACCCGCATGCCTGCGCGAAAATGGCGCTGCAAAAACTGAACAGTGTTCAGAGGAACTGGGATCCGAGGACCCCTGACGCCCCGCGAGACGCACAGACAGCCCCGGACCAAGAAGACGAGGCAGTCTTCGTAAGCCAGGATCCCATTGAATGCATAACCGATGGCTTCCGGATATTCACAAGCCCCAATAGAAGGGCGATAATAGGCCCCGCCCCGCCACCAACAATAGGGAGAGACGGAGGGGGCGCACCAAGGACGATATTCATCGGAAGCGCAGTGCATAAAAGCGGGAGTGCCGAAGCACAGGCAGGAGCAGGAATTTGGCACACATTGAACGACCCAGAGAACAGGTCGATAGCCATTCCCACAGAGCTCGACCAGACTCTGCCAAACGCCGAAGTTGTAGCTACGCTAGTAGCAGTGCAATCATACTCAACCAATACGGAGATTAGGATTGAAAGTGCGAGAAATCACGTACTCCGGGCCATTACAAAGAACCTCCCGAGCTGGGAGGACAAAGGTTGGACAGGAACTCCGTACAAGGAGCAGACTATGGCGCTGGCAGCGGCAGTAAGGTCGAGAACAGCCAAGACCACGTTTGCGGTGGTTAAAGATAAAGATGGAGTGCGAGAGGCGGTCACGCTAGCACGTGATGCTTCGATAAGGCCCGAACGCGACTTTGTAGACCTCCAAATGCAACCCGATGGAGTGGTGTACGGCGCGAAACTCGCGACACTGACTCAGGCTATGGCATACAGAGCAATAAAGGAGCTCCGGGACGAAGTACACCGAAGAGCCACCGACGAAAATGTCCTGGCAGTACAGACGGCGATAAAATCAGCCTTCGGAAAAACCCCCACAGCTGCGACCGTGTGGAAATCTATACGGAGCAAAGATATATCACGCCAGGTGCGGAATTTCCTTTGGAAAACACTGCATGGAGCCAACCACGTTGGGAAATATTGGCGCCACATACCCGACCTAGAAAGCCGCGAGAACTGTCATGTCTGCGGAACAGAAGAATCAATCGGGCACATCCTCCTAGAATGCACCACGCCCGGGCAGTCTGAAACCTGGTCACTCGCCGAGGAGCTATGGCTCCTAAATCACGACACTTGGCCCGAACTTTCGATGGGGTCACTAATGGGATGCGGTCTGGCAACGTTCAGGTCTGCGGACGGAAAACCTGCTCCGAGCGATGAACGCCTTTATCGAATGATCGTCAGCGAGTCCATGTTCTTTATATGGAAGTTACGATGCGACCGCGTCATAAAATACGAGGGGAAGTTGTTCTCCTCCGAGGAGGTCAGGAACCGCTGGATCGCGCTCTTAAACGAGAAGCTCCACATAGACCGGGCTCTGACTAACAGGGTGAAATTCGGTAGACAACATGCCGTTGACCCCCAAGTTGTCCTAGACACTTGGAAGGGCTCCCTATTTGAGGAGGAAAAATTGCCAGACAACTGGCTGAGAGCACCCGAGATTTTAGTGGGTGTTGTGTCGAGGAGATCAAATAGATCGCCGTCCCCACCCGTTTCCCGGGATCCGTGGCCGGACTAGAAATGACGCAACTTAGCCCCACACTGTTGCTGATAGCTTCGTGCGAAGGCATTTCCTCGGGGGTGGGCACCCCTACTCTCTATATGGAGGGCCTCGGTCCTCTGAACCTTACGCGACTGGTGTGGCTAACCTTGTTAGTTGACATTCAGCCGATATCGTACCACCAAAAAAAAAAAAAAAAAAATACTTCTATACGCCTCCGCAGCTTTGTATGTATCATAAGAGTATGTCAACCAACATTGGGGATTAAATGATTTAAAATTAACAGTGTAGCAGGCACATTTAGTGGAAACCCACAGTACCACTGTTGAGATTACGTCCAATAGCTTACAATGAGTGAGCGAGAGACGGCCGACCCACACACGATCTCATGAGGTATATATCTATGCCACAGACAATGGTGATCAGGGACCCTGGACTGGAATTGCGGCTCACCATAAAGGCATTGTGGTCCTCAGGAATTGAATGGATCACTGTCAGCATTTATGCCGGGGAAGACGAGACTGCCATCACGAGCGGAGAAGAAAGTGTCACTCGGGGAAATCCGAAAAATCAGCGTGTCGAAAAGGGGCGCCGAAAGGCGAGCTTTCAGCGACACTTTCGGCCGGCAGCTACTATATCGGGTAATAGATAAGATCAGATTAACTATATCGGGTAATAATTTCGGTGTCACCGCTGAGAACGTTCCCGAAACTACACCTTTTGGGAACGTTCTCAGCTGTGATCCGGGCGCTGATTTTTCTGATTTTCTGGTGTGTGTTGTAGTGAGCGAGAAAAGTTGTCCTTATTTGGCACCGAGCTTGAACCGATCGAGATTCAGCCGAATGTCTGGCCGCTTTCTGCCGAGTCATAGTTCGATGGGTCTTATTAGATCCCATCAAAATCGGAGCTCCGGGCTGATTTCTGGTGATCCCCGGCGAATGCTGCCAGCCTGATGTTGCCGTAGTGTTGCCATCAGGTTGCCGTTGAGATCTGCTGTCTGAGGCCATCTGCCAGGGGTATGCCGCCGATCCGGTGGCAAGCCGGTGGGAGCTAATTGACCCAGGGCAAAGCGGTGAAATGCTTTCCCCGCCTGCTTTTCTTCTGGCAAAGGCAGCCAGGCAACAGTCCAGAGGAAATTCTGTGGTAGAGGTATCAGATAGCTCCTGTGACAATTGTACAGGGAAGTGAGTGAGTGAATGAAGTGAGTGAGCACATTCTGCTCTGCTTGCCAAATTTGCGGAATAAAAATGCTTCCCAAACCCAGTATCCGGATTATGTGTTGGCTTATTTTTTGGAGGAGCACTCCTGGTCAAGGGATTTAATTCTTGTCTAAGGAAATCTCAAAATCGAGTCCTAATCAAACTTGATTCAAACTCCGCTGTGTTCAAATTCACCAATTGAGCAAGGCGTGTTTGAAACTCAACACATTTACGAACACATGAAATATGCACATTTCTGGCTGCAGTAACGTGGAGCCCGAGAATTCCCAGTGTTTGGTAGAAGCTAAAATCCAAGCTACAAAATTCAACGGTCAGGTTGAGAGCGGAAGGCTCAAGTCCGTGATCGTTGGCTCAAAAAGTTGAACTTTTGAAACTATTAGAATCGTCGCAGATTGCTAGTGAGATATGGGCCAATAGTGAATACACTGACTGGAAGGTAAGGCAATAGTGCATTCATCGAACTTGGAGTACTTACTAGATAGGCTCCGGAATCCGGAGACACGTCGGCGAATGACGTGGGAAATTCCCTTTCGGGGAAATCTAAAAAGACCAATCGAACGGTTCCTCGCTTTCTGCCGCCAGACAATTTTCCCGGGTTTTCGAACTCCCGAACTTCCTGTTGAAATCCAGAGTGCAGTCCATTGTCGAGCCCCTCTACCCAAGGGTTCACGTTGGAATGATCCAACGATGCAAATATTAAGAGGCGTAGATTGTTTGTCTGCGTTGTACCTCGTAGGTGTGCCTTGCCCTTACCCTTCAATGGTCCGATGGTGTAGTTGGTTATCACTTCTGTCTAACATTTACATGAGAAATTGAGTAATTGGGACACAGGCGGTCCTCAGTTCGAACCTGGGTCGGATCACTTTTTCTTTCTTCTTCTCTCTCTCCCTCGAACTACATACATCTCCGGAAGTTTACTTTCATCCTGTATCTGCGTCAAGTTCGACCATATATCCCACATCCAACGTCCTCCGACTGGCAAATATACCCCCTGACACTTCTTGACAGTGGGCCAACAACTTGCAGCATCAAGTTGCCAATCATCCAACACCTATTCACTCTTGGGCTCCTTGTTGCGCAACCTCCTGACGACCACCTACATCAAGAGGTTCCGACGATAACGATTAGAGGGACTGATGGTGACACGTGATGCTTACTATTGTGGCCCCCCTAGCTGGCCACCCCAGGTACCTGGCCACTTGAGTATTTAAGCCATATGAGTGGATTTTTCTGCTTCAACTTGAACGGTGGGTTGTAGTGGAACCCCTTGCGGCCCTGTAAACCAAATTTGATGCAACTCGGCATCTCTGACATGATGCTGTGCCGGCTTTCGGATCGGGGGAACGGTGTGGCGTGAGAATTTCTTATTTTGGACTGCCAGCACCCACAATCAATCCTCTCTCTCTCCTCCAATTCTGGCTCAATCTCCAAGATTTAGCGCTCTTTTTTCTGGTACAATGCCCCGCTAGCGCCCAAGGCCTCCAAAACCGCAAAACAGGGCCCAGTGGCGATTCGTTGGGCCGTTTTTGTTAGTCCCAAGATGGGACAAGCTCACCAAGATGGCCATCGACTTTTCATGTGACCCGCTCATGCCAACGGCCCAAATTGTGGTAGGTCTGGTGTCTGGGTCCGATCAACCCCCTCGCATATATCTGTTGAGTTTTATCAATTTTATTCCCTCGTGAATCTTCCCCGTTGTAGCTAATGACGGATTTTTGGCCCTCCATCTTTCGAGATTTTCTCTGGGAGATGGGAAATGTTGGTAGCGTGAACTGTGGTTCAGGTGTGTTCCTATGTTATCCTAGCAGTATACCACAGCTTATCTTGAGAACCAAACGTCTCTAGCGTCGTTACGCTGCCCATTCTTGAAATCCACCGTACGGATAACATGTGGTCCTGTCCCTCAACAGCCACTTATATGTTGAACGACTCGATACAGAGCTATAATTTCCGAGGAACCATGGCTCCATGTCCCCGGACCAGTTATTGAACCTCAATAACGTGTCGCAATCGATAATTACATGGTGTTCCCTGAGAAATGTACCATTTGCTTATTTAAGCGGAAATTCATCACTGGGACGTGTTGAAGGCCAAAAGAAAGCTATTATCAGTCCCTGAGGCACGTTTTGTATTAGCTGAGCATGTCTCTTGCATTTCCTCTGGCGCGACGGAGCGGGAAGATGATAGCGGGCGAAAACCATGAGCGTTTGATTGAATTTCCCACGGTGGCCAGCTAGCCCGATTCGACCGATTTCGGACCTGCCGCCGAAAAGAATTCGCCGAGCCATCAACTCATCACACAATCACGATCGGCGCTCGCAGTTCACTCCCAACATGCAAGCCAACATATCCCGAACCTCAGAGACATGGCAAGTCTTCTAATTTTTCCATGAGATACCCAAAATACCTTAGGTGGCCAGGTAGGGGGTCACAAATAGTACCAAATCGGGACGCTTCCCCGTTGAACATCGGGTGGAATTCATAATTCTGCCTAGTCTCTCTTGACAGACGCTCTAGTAACGGAAAACGTTCGTGCCTCACGCGTTATAGAGTCTGTTAGTTACCGCGCTTGATACCCGGTATCCTGTGTTATTATGTAAGCTTCCATTTTAGGCGCTCGTCCGAGACGCGTCGAGACGCGTCGTGGTGGGTATCTGGACCTCAGAGAGAAATTTACTGCACCCATTTAAAACATGCCGATACCAAATGTACATGGTCCATTTTTTGCAACCCAAGAAGCAAACGAGGCACATATACGAATACTTGGATCCAATTTGCTTCCTGTCTGCTCTCAGACCTCCAAATATTGCTACAAGAGATGAAAAATGTGCCAGAAGGCCTATCTACACGACAATCAGGCTCAATGTTGCCACAAAAAAGATTCCCGACCATGCTGAGATGAGAAACGCGTCTCGACGCGTTTCGGATGAATTCCCAAAGTGGAAAGCTTACATAATAACGCAGGCAACGGGTAAATCAGCGCGGTAACCACAGGACTAAATTCTGCCCTATTCTGCCCGCGCACGCGTTTCTGAAGGTCTCGGAGGGCATCAGGTAGCCAACTACTCGTGGTTTCCTTCCCCAGATCGAAGTTTTATGAGGGAGAAAAAAAACAAGTTGTTGTAGCAATGTTGTACTGTAGGGCCATCATTTGCCCCGTTATTTCATGCCAGAACATCATACTCTGGAAACTGTAATGCCAGTGACTTTAATGCTCTACTCGTGCTCAACTCGGGCTTTCAAGGGGAATCAAGACCAGTGATTCTAAAAGATGCATATGACACCTTTTCTTTTACTACCCAATGTAACTGGATTATTCTACTACGTCACCCCATTTTTTAATAACATCTGCTTTGACCTTTGCTCCCGGGCCTCAGGACTCGGGAGCCTTCCAGAGGCAAAAACTCACAACTATTCAGAATGCCGCTCGGTGTTCAAACGGGGAAGCGTCCCGATTTGGTAAACATCACGTGTCACCATCAGTAATCGTTATCGTCGGAACCTCTTGACCTACATACACCGCCAATACACCGCTCAAGTTGTCTGCCGCAGTCCCGGGCAACCGCCGCGTTTGAAGTTTACACTTGGCTTGAGGCCCTGGAAATACCCGAGGCCTAATGATCACCCCAGAACCATCTCCCATGGAGACTGATCGATGTACATATGTAAATCGCTATAACAGTTTACGTTGTGTGGTCACACCCTCCAACACCCTTCGCAAAAATCACGGCCAAGATCGACCTTACTGGTATGAACCGTATGATGTTAGCTGCAGACGGAGAGTAAATCTCACGATCCGTATAGGAAGTTCCGGAACTTGACAAGCGACTGCCGCGGACAGAGAACTAGGGCTATACTGTTTGGCACGGGCGAAAAAATGCGGCCCTTCGATCCAGGATCAATCCAGGATTGATTCCTGCTCCAATTTGGCTGATGGTCGAAAGGGTGATCACTCCAATACCTTGATACTTCAAGTTCAATACATTAATATTGGCGCACAACGTAATCCCGCGTGACAACAGCCGCCTCGAATCGTATAAAAGGGACGCATTCAAGGGGAAGGGTCCTTAGGTTCAACTCTTCCCTTTCTCCTTCTCATAAATTACACATTTCGAAGCCCACTTTGTTTGACACACTGAAAATGCGTTTTGCCGCCATCGCCACCGTTGTTGCCCTTTTCGCGACTTTCGCCGCTGGATCTAGCATCCAGGCGAGGTGCTTCCCGGATACCTGTGTAGGCCGCATTTGTCTCCGCCGTTTTATCTTGTGGTACTCATAGATCCTCATCAGGTTTGCAACGAAAGTGGCTGCAGCGCCGGGCCCGCCTGCTGTGCAGTAAGTAGTATTCATGCTTCGTACTCCTCGCCAGAGGGTGAAGCTGATTCTGCTGTAGAACGGAAGCTGCCCGTGTTGAAGAATATTCTGAAGACGAAAAGGGTGGATCATGGGAACTTCACTTCTGGATCGTTGCTAGAAGATTTCTTGAACATCTTACTCAAATGCAAACTTGATTCTATTTTGCAACATAAAGATCACTTAAATTTCGGCCGTGTCTTGACTTCGCCGACAAAATGAAACTACTTTCGCCATCAATTCACTGTTACATTGTGTGTGCACAGTTTGTTGCTTGTACCCATAAAAAGATATAGATCCCTCCCTCCATCATATCGTATACCTAAACAGACTCGTTAGTGTCGCAAATACAAGTAGGGACATGCAGACATGCCTGAAAAGCGGGCTTTCGCTGCCCATGTCGCGGAACTCCGTGCGCCGGCTCGCATCGATGCCCTCGCGCGCGCAATACTCGTCCCGTTGCTTGTTAATGCGGTTGTAGTCCCACATGGCGAAGCACGACAGAAGGATTCTGCGGTCGGCAATGAATTAGCTTGGGTTTGCTCACGGTGCGGCAGTAGGAACGTACGAGAGACTCAGCCAGCCCATTATGGTACCGTGGCCGATGTGGAAGTACGGGGGCGTGATGTAGATGAACGAGGAGCAGATACTAGCGTATCTTGCCATTAATAGGTGTATATGGAAGACATCGGGCGCCAACATACCCGCCGAGATTGCCTAACCCGATGACCATAGCAATTACGACGCCTACAAAATTTCAGGCATGAGTATGTGAGGATAACAGGTTTCTCGCCTTTCCGGGTATCCCCGCCTGCGATACTACCAGCCCACGCGAGATCGACCGCGATAGTAGGATAAACACCTACCGCCGCCAATATGGCGCCAACATATCCTGCACCGGGTGCTTTCTGTGTGTACAACACAATATACCTAAAATGATAGTAAGACGATAGCCCAAGAGACGAGGTCATATTGGTCAAGACGCACCCGATGAGAGCGACGAGGCATGGGCCAATGATGAAGGGACCCCGCATATTGTACTTGTCGGAGAGCAGGCCCACGGCAATGGTTGCAAAGCAACCACAGACAAAGGGTGGAATCGTAAGGAGCTGCGCTTGGGCAGCCGTGAATCCGAGCTGCTGCACGATGGTTGGCGTGAAAAGCTGAACACCACGCTCAGTGGTGTATGTGCACGGAAAGAGAATATATTTACTGCAATCGCGTATACAGGAATGAGGAGTCTAAAATACAAGTTCAGAAACGACGCTTGTCATAGAACGGGAACCGCATACCCCATGTATATTCCGATTTGCACGTAGGTGCGGTAGTCACCCATGGCTTGCCAGACAAATTTGCGATCATAGTGCGTCGCGAGGTCCTGTTGGTCCTCTCTCAGCATGTGAACCACATGCTTACGTTCTGGCTCTGTCAGGAATCCGGCAGTTTCGGGATACTCAAGTGTGGAGGTGAGGTTACGAGGAAAACTGACTATAAGGCGACTCACGTCAT